CAATACAATGGACGCCAAGATAGGATAGCGACCACTGACGCAATGGCCATTTCCTAAATTGCTTTTATTCTAATCAAATAGGGTAAATTTACTATAAATAGTTTGTGTAACTCTATTAGTAGCTTGTTACAATTTTTCCATTCGTTGTGAAATAAACACATCAATATTATAAAGAATTATTGTATACCACTATTATTTATAATTATTAAACATTCTTTTTTAAAAACTGCTTTGAGTGAGTGAACACATAATTATATATAATATAATAATTCGATATTAATTTTAATTTCAGATTGAAACAAACTTTAACAGAAAATATCCTGATGATTTTTTCATTACATATTGCTTATGTATCTACTCATCGTAAGATTGTAGCAATTATCAAAAGAGGTTTACAGAATTTTTAAATTTTAATAGAAAAGACTAGTTACCCATAAATTTTAACATTTTAATTTTAATTATTAAAATGTAATTGGAAATACTTTCATTTTAGATGATTACCATTAAAAAATCCAGGAAAGGATACAATTGTGGACCCAGAAGAAGCGAGATTCAGGAAAGCCTTTTCATTCACGTAGCGGTAAGTAAAACTTTTTTAGAAATCATTGCTTAAACTTGTTCCTTTTAAAATTAAAATGTGATCAATTGAATTTTTCTGAGTAAAGCTACAATCTGGTTCAAAACCTCCAGTTAACAATAAACATAGTGCCCTTAAAAAACCTGACTCTTTCGGATATCCCCTAGAGGGCCATTTTTTTATCGACTAAAAATTTAGCGCTAGAACCCTATTCTACCATTTAATTTATATGTAGGTACGATATTATCCATTCGTTTGAGAGGCAGGACTTTTATAATAATAATAATAATAATAATAATAATAATAATAATTTTAAAACGACTTTTTTACAAAACGTTTCTGAAATTAATGAAAAGGCAGCCACCAGGAAGGCCAAATTAACAGAGTACGGCCTAACCTTGCAACCATATGCGTGGGTAATGGTAGATCTAGATAATCTAACCTTTGCCCTAGTAATCGAGGATAAAATACTTCTTGCAAAGTTGTGTAAGAACAATTGAAGTCTAATTTAAATGTTTTTACGCACTTGATGTGGAGTTTCCTGTCGAAAGTGACCAAATTTGGCAGTTTATAAGAGAGAAAATTTTTAAAATTAAATCGCAGTTTAGATCACTTACTGTCGATTCAATGATTAGCGCTTTGACCTTTAATTTAGGCAACCAATTAAATTGATATGAAAAGGTTTTATTTTGAAAACGTTTTTCAAAAAGTAATTTTAGAGAATTTTGGCAATATTGCAGCTGAAAAATTTATTTTCCATGTTTCGTTAGACAAATTTGTATTTCATTTTTTATGTTGATATATTTTTAAACCACCAAAAACTTAATTCTTCTCTTATATTGACTACTTATTATTACAATTCCGCAGTGCAGTATTTGTGGTGATTTTGTCTTTAAATGTAATGCACTAATCGCACATTTAAAAATACTGCACAGGATAGAAGAAAAGGGTGTTTCTGCGTGTGTAGAAAAAGATTGCAAACCTCAAAAGCTAGGGAAAACACATTCAAAACAAATATTCTTCTGATTTTCTTCCATCAGAACATTTATAAACAAAACACCCAAGAACCTCCCAGCTATGAATCCGAATTTGTCGTCCCCTAGAGATTCCGAGGGGATAACCGGTACGCTTCCGAAACGAAGACGGGAGGAGGCACTATTCCAACTGGTGTCGTTAGTACGACGAATGCCTGATCCACAAGATCCCGTAAAGTACCACCACCGCGTCGGAAAACTAAACCGCTGTCTGGCCCCGGTTCCCCTCCAGCTTCGAGTTCCACCATGGGGCAAACGTGAGCGAGTGGTTTCCCGTGCAGTCCGACGATTCGGTCTTCCCATGTGGCAAATGTCGTGATTCTGCAGGACATCGTCCTTACCGCCGTGGGGTCGATATACCCTCAACCGCCGCCCTGTTGTCCATCTCCTCCACTACCGACTCCCTTGTACCTCCATGACTTTTCTGCCCTTAGCCCTTCGGCCATTGATTTTATGTGGGCGGATAGTGAAGTCGCCTTCCAGAACCCACCAATACCCGCCACTTCCTTTTCTCTTCCCAGTTCCCCTGGCCAGATGAGCAAAGGGGAAGTTCTAGCCTTAAAACGCCAGTTAGCCGCCGCCGCTCAATATCCTCCGCTTCCGGCAGAATTACTAGAGCGAGCGCAAGCACTTCGCCCTCCGGGGAGCATTTTCAGTAACAGCTGACGCGCTAGATCATCGGCGGTGCTTCGGCTTATTCCGGCTTTTCAGTAATGGGCGACAGACTACGCGGTAGTTTGACTAACACAGCAGACGCACTACGACTGCTTGAGTAATCGGTCGTCGTATTTAATTGTTTATCAGTTGAAACGTGTTGTTAATCGGTCGTCGTATTTAATTGTTTATCAGTTGAAACGTGTTGGCTGATGTATAAAAATGGGTTGCTTACCAGATAATTATAATTATAAGAAATTTGACGATAAATGTATTGTAAGATCTAATTTAAAATCAAAAGACGATGTCGAGGTAAGTTTGAGTCAAAATGATCAATTTATGAAATAAAATAATGAATTTTAAAGAGCTTGAACAAAAATTGAATGTGATTTGGCTGGTAGAGACTAGGCAAACCTTTTTACAAATCCTTTGTAAATATAGCCTATCTCAATTTATGTATTTTTTTTATTTTTCGTTCCCAAAAGTTTTTAAAATTTCTAACATCCTACGTTGTTTTAGTAGAACTGGGTACGTGAACTAGAAGGTTTAAAGAAGGAAACATGGACTATTGTAAAGACATGGTTGTATAAAGATAAAAAGCAGACACGAAATGCATTTAAAAGAATTTACAAATGCCACCGAAAAACTAAGACTAATGTTGCAGAAGCGAAGAAAAAAAACTCGAAATTTAAACTGTCCTGCAGAATTAATTATAACTATAAAAAAGTTTATCCCAGGATCAAAATCGTCCATTTCGGATCCTTTACTTCCAGACTGGCCATGTATAATTCAAATTAAAAACGCTCATATTCACAGACTTTTGTGCGTAGACAACCTAAGCGAAAGACCTTTAGGAGCAGAAGCAAAAAAAAATTTTACAATTATTTGAAAAGGGCCATTCAGCTTACCATACTTTTTGCATGGAAGAACTAGGGAATGATTATGAAAATCAACCTTTAGACCGACATAACATTCCAACCAAAACTGATGTTCAAACACTTTGGAGAAAGCATTTTAAAGATACTTTCGGACCACGAACAGGCGAGGGTATGTTGTTACAGTTAGAAAATTGCCTTAAAGTAGCTTTAAAAACCAATAACACTTTATACAAAATTAATTGCCTCGAAGAAGATTATTGTGTTGCTATTTGCACACCTATAATGCAAAGAGCAGCAAAGTTGCCACAAGCTTCTGAAATTATGTTTGTGGATGCGTCTGGAAATTGCGATGTGGAAGGACTTAAAGTTTATTTCTTTTTGACGCAGTCAGCTGCTGGTGGTATTCCTTTAGGCTCTATTTTAAGCAGCAGTCAAAAGGCAGATGTGTTTCGCTTAGGTGTTGCTGCTTTGTTTGAAATCTTACCTATTAAAGTAGCTCCTTCAGTCATAATAACTGATGACGATTTAGGTAAACGTAACATTCTAAAATTATTTTGGCCCAATTCTACTTTACTTTTATGCTCATTCCACGTTTTAAAGGCGTGTTGGAATTGGATTCAAATTTCTAAACATGGGATTCCCAAAGAAGAATCGCAAAAAGCATACGCAATATTTCGCAATATTCTCACCGCTCGAACAGAAGAAAATTTAAATGATGCGAAAAAGCAGTTCGAAGAATTTTCCAAATATCCAAAATTTACTGAATATCTGAAATCAATGATAGAACGGATCGAGTTATGGTGACTATTTTTCAGACGTAACTTGATGATTTGAGGAACAAACACAAATAACTACATTGAAGTTACATTTAGGTTGCTGAAAGAACTAAAGCCTTCAATTTAACGCAGTTGTCTGATTTTATAGTAAATAATTTTGAATGTTATTATAAGCAACGGTTTTTAGCTGTGGTTTTAAACAGAGTGACAAAGTCCACAAAATTACGGTACATCCATGATGGTATAGATGTTTTACCGTCAAGTATTGTCAAAAGAGGTAATTTGGAGTTTAGCGTAACTTCTTCTAAAAATAAAGATGTTACATACATAGTTGATATGATGTCTTTCCGATGCAGTTGTTATGTTGGATACAATGGAAAGCACTGCAAGTATCAGGCTGCTGTAGCAAAAAAAGAAAATATTTTTTTTTGCGTGAACACCTTATCTCTTGACATGAAAATGAAGCTTTATGAAGTAGCGTGTGGAGAAAATTCAAATCCTGAGCTATTTCTTCCACTTCAAGGAGACAATGTGGATACTTTAACTATAAACCAGCCTACACGACACTTATCCAATATTACTACTGAATGCATTTCAATAAATGAAGATGAAGCAAGTGGTTCTGCGTGTACTTTAAATGTCAATGTTCCCACGACCAAGGAACTCGATGATTTAAAGGAACATTGGAAAACATTTTATAATGAAATCCTGATACATCTTGACAATAATCCAATAGAATTTTATCCTGCAATTTCCACTTTCCTAAAAAATCGAGAAAAGTGTGCTAAAAGTAACAACTCTCTTATATCAGGGTTGCATAATTCTTTTAAATACCACGGAACAACTCCAAAGCATAAACGCCTGGGTATAAGAAAAGGAAAAATAATAAGTGTGCAGCCAACAAGTGCAGCTAGAAGAAAATCGGCAATGGGTGGCAAAAAACATTCCTCAGCTGGTAGAAAAGTGAAAAGTACCCCATTCTCTACAAAAATGTGTCAATATGAATATAGGCTTAGATGAAAATAAGTTTAAAAAATGATCCGTTTTTTACGTTGATTTGTTTTTTTTCTAAGGTTATTTTTTAATAATTTATAAATCAATAAAACATAATATTAGTTATACAGTATGTTATGTATTTTTATTTTTTTGTTTTTAAATGTTTTATAAATAAATTAATAACGAAAACAAAGTCATTATTTGCTAAGCTAAAATAAATAAAAAGTTTTTTTAAATCAATCTCATTTACTTGAAAGTTAACTTAAGATGAGAAACAGCAGACGTTCTAGACCTAGATCATCCGCTGTTACTGTCGTCGCCGAACGCTATTAGCGCGTCTGCTGTTACTGACAATGCCTCCGGGGACGGATCTCAGCCAGTCGTGGCGACTGATATTTTGGGTAGACTCCCGACGGTACCGAATCCGTCTACCGGCCTGCCAGTCCTAAGAGTGTACTGTAGGAATTATAGTTTTTTTTTCTTTCTCTTCTCCCTCTTGGTTATTTTTACTCCCTCTTAGTTTTTTTTCTTCTTCTCCCTCTTCTTTTGGCCGTTACCATGGGCAGGCTTGAGCCCTTCATCTATTGTACCGCTTAACCGTTTTATATAAAAAAATGTATTTAGGCTATAAGTTCTGAGGTTTTTACCAAATTAGTAAGGATATCGAAGAGTTGTTTCAAAATGAAAAAGCAACAACATATTACCTCCCTTAGGCAACGTACAAGGATAAAGATAATGGAAAGAAATTAATTGGTCCAAGAGGAAAACAATATACAAAATAAGTCAATTGAAAAACTCAATTAAGACTTGCTAATGCTATGTTGTCAGGGATCCTTATCTCCATCACACCGCTGTTAGAAACCCGGAATTTTCCCCAATCGGGAAGTACCGATTCATGTGTTAACTGTTGATGTTGTCTTTCAGTATGAGCCGCCCGCCATTAATATTGGCCGAGGGGGAATGGTACACGGAATACAAGGATGGCCCCGGAGAACCAATCCATCTTCTTTTCTGGAGACGGTCTGTGCCCGAGCAGGAAGTGGAAGATAATTCCATAAACACCATGCCCCGTCCACAGCCGTCGACACCGGACCCCTCGTCTCAATCACGCGTCCTTTCGCCGGTCACGAATTTCATAAAGGTTCGCCCTGACTCTTGTTCGCGTTGTGGGGATACCGGACATCGTAGGGAGCGCTGCAACCGAGCTCCGATTCTTTTCTGCTCCCGCTGCGGACGTGTCGGAACGCTATCCCGACTCTGTGGGTGTCCACCAATCACAACCCTTCAGTAATCTCCGTCCACCATTACTGTCCTGCCTCTTTCCCCTACCAAATGTTATTTCCGTTTATGCCCGGTATTTGGCGACCGTCTAACGAAGGTTCTGAACAAAGAAGAATGGATCCGAATGTTCCGTTGGGACTGCCGCTGCTTCAATTTCACTGTCTTGTTTTAGCAAGATGGACTCCGATAGTTCCTTTGATGTCATAAGCCTCGCTAACTCAGCTTTGTCTGAAGAGGCCCCCTTTCCGAAGAAGGTTCCAAGTCTGTTGTTGAACAACTGAGGGTACCGATTCCAGTCATCGTTTCAGATTTCACTACCCCTCCCCCGAGACTCGCTACATCGCATACTGATCCGCATGTAGTGGACAAACACGTGAAAGTCACCCAGTCCGGTTCTCGACTATCCTATTCCAGGGCAAGACCGCCTGCCGAGGAACGCACCGTTAAGAACCGACGATCTCCGGATGTTGCGACTCATTTACCGGTAGACCGAGATCTTTGCTGGAGATGCGGATACCCGAGTCACCATAGAACCAGTTGTGTCTCAAATCCAACTCCACGAGACGTCTCTGCCCCGATATCATGGGACAAATCTCGTTCCGTTGGTGTGCAGGTAACTGTTATGTAGGAGGCTAAAGGAAAAATAATGGTAAACGAAGTTTACCCTTATTTTTCTTTCCGAAGTGAGGGGGGTAGTAATGAAGTCATTAGTATTCTTAATAATGATTTTAAATCTAATTTTCATTAGAATCCGGGATATCAATTTAATTAATTATACGTTACCATTTTAATTTATAAATCAACTCTTTGGCTTCACCCTGTATGTATTATTTTAAAATATATAATAATCCGAAAATCCATAGTACTTTCACAATATAGCAATGGTTTTCAAAAGTCATTTTAAACCAGGGTTTTGAATTTATATTATAGAAAATTGTAGATTTGGAAATTTATCCTTTTTGATATTTTAAACGAGAACGAACGTCAGCACTTTTAAGTTGATCATGCGCGGGGTTTTGGTAAATATTTTTCGAGTCGAGATCGAGAACAGCGAGAGAGAAATTCATAATTCCATTCCGAGCGATCGAAAGAGTCAGACGATAACTATAATACCAGTGCCGCGAGCCAAAACCGTTTTGTTTACCGCAGTAAATAAAAAAAAAAGTTTTAATTTTTTGACGTAGCATCGAGATTTAGTTAGAAAATAAAACCGAATCAAATTAGGTAGATTTAAACACCTTTTGAGATTTACATTTTAACACGTAAATAATTTTTTTTTAAATTCCGAAATTTAATAATTAAATTAACAGTCGAAGAATTTTTTTGTTTGGTGTTTTTTTTTATTATTTTCTTCGAACGGTGAGGACAGCTTCAGATATAAATCTACTTTGAAAATAGAATTATTAAATAAGCAAATTGGGAAAAGATAGGAATTAGAGTGTTTATTTTTTTTTTCGTTTTTTTTTCGTTTTTTTTTTTAATTTAGATAGACTTTAAAAAATAGATTTGTTAAATTCGTAACCGTGGAAAATAAGGGAACTGAATATTGTTCTTTTTTTTTTATTTGTTTAGTTTGACTGTCCGGGATTTTGTTCTACCGAGAGGGGTATCATTTCCTGTTTTAAAAATAAAAATCTCCGTTCCTTTATTTTTCCTTCCTGTCTATTTCCAAATAACTCAGTGAAGGCTTAAGGTTCCCTGTGTTATTTTCCTTCCTAGATATCCGCAATTAACTCAGTGAGGGCTTAAGGTTCCCTGTGTTAGTTTTCCTTCCTGTCTATTTCCAAATAACTCAGTGAGGGCTTAAGGTTCCCTGTTTTTTTTTTCTTCCTAGCTATCCGCAATTAACTCAGGATGGAATTTATAGTCAAGCCTTGAGGCCCTCCTTATGTGAGGGTTTCTCGAGGCGGCCTCAACTTTTCTGTTTTATAAACACTTCCTCAAGGGAGGAATACTTGAGGAAGACTAACATCTGACAACGTCGCATTTTATTTCTTTTGACATAAAAAGCACATAAAAGTGAGGTTGTGTATTACACGTTGCACATGTACACAGATCACGTGTTTTATAAATTTATTTTATTTGTGTTTTACGCAGTAATTTTAAAATTTAAAATGTCCGAAAAAGAAAATCGGGCACCTTACTCGAGCGAAGAGAAGGTGTACTTGTGCTCTTTAATTCAAAAATATGGCAGCGCGATAGAGAATAAAAAAACTGATTCCAGTAATTTGATGGCGAAAATGAAGGCCTGGGAAAGAATTACACAACTATATATTCTAATTTTAGTAAAAGGAACTCAAAGCAACTTAGAAAGCTGTGGGACAACTTAAAACAAAGGTAAGTAATATCAGACTGGAAAAACTAAATACAGTAAAAAATTGTACTTTTTTACCTATACTTATTATATATTTTTTAGAACTAGAAAGAGCGATTCGGATTTTAAAAATCAAAGTTTACAAACAGGAGGCGGAACACCTCCCAAAGAAGATGACAACCCTCTAAATGAGATGATCAGGAGTGTTGTGCCAACAATTAATTTGGAGGTCGAAAATATGTTCGATAGAGATGGCATTGATGTTTGTAAGTATTTAAAATTAGTTTTCACCTCAAAATAAAATATTGGATGCATACTAACCTTGACATTTTCCAACTAAAATGCACTTTCAGTCTCTAAACATTAACTCTTAGGGTTGAACATACCATGAAATTTATTTTAAACAATTTTTGGGTTGGGTAGAATCTTTATTATAATTTAATTAAAATCAGTTACTCTGTTGTGGAGCGTCTGTGGCACAGACCCCAACCATTTTTTTTAATATTTCTAATTATTAGGCTCATAAATAATTGATCATTTTTCCAATTTTTTTTCTGTATTCCATTAAGAAGGAAAATGCAAAGATATCTTTATAGAATATAGCCTCAAATTGAATAAATTTTCTTATAGGTACACCAACAACATCTACAAATGTTAATATCTGTAGGGTGCCAATTTTGACACCAAAAATGTTCCAGGAGAAAAGTGAAAATTTAGAAGAAAAAGGTAAACTGACATGAACATATTTTTACATTTAAGTATCTGTAAAGGCTATTATTTTTAGATCGTTTACAGACTGACATTGAAATTAAGATTCAGTTTTAGATTTTATGAATATTTGACTGTGTAGTATTAGTATTAGTGAAAATAATACAAGGAACCTTAACCCAAATTTGTAAGGGATTTCACGGTAATTACTTAAATCGCAAAGCAAATCAAAATTTTGATCAAGGATAGTATAAATTGAAAAATTCCAAATTTACGGTAATTTTCTTAAATCACAATGAAAAATCAAAATGTAAATCAGGGACAGTATGAATTTAAAGATTTAAATTTACGGTAATTTTCTTAAATTGGAAAGAAAAATCAAAATTTAAATCAAGGAAAGTATGAATTTTAAAAATTCCAAATTTACAGTAGCATTCATATACGTTAGTCTGGTATTTTATTGCCACATTATTATTAATATTTTATTTTACACAAACAACGTTTTAGATCCATGGAAGGCAATCGTATAATGAATATTAAGCATTTTTTAAGGAAACTGTTTAACTTAATCACTGCAGAATGTTTTCCTTTATACCTCGAGAGCTTAAAATTTTAATTCAGACATCTATTTAAGCAACTGTCAAAATACCTTTAACATAAGTATAAATAATATAAGTATCAGAATCCGTATCGGGGAATGATTGAAGACCGTCCCTGTTGAATTTACAAATGCAGGAACTCAAAATCGATAATAATGATAAGGCAAAAGAAAACAGTTGGTAATATGTATGCGCGAAACGAATGCGCAAGCCGTAACAGTTTTTTAACCGCTGCAGGTAGACCATCTTTCTCAATCTCTTTATAACAATCACACCTCAATGGCGATCAAATAAATATTTTGAGTAAGAAATGTATAATGTATATAGTGTACATAAACCCTGTTATTACTAAAATGTTTGCTTATTTATATTCGATCTTTTAATACGAAGCCAGCCGCTTGTGGATACATGGATACAATCGTCTATAGTATTAGAAACGAGTTGAGCATGCAAAAAGTTTAATATCTTGATACAGGCGAAACACCAATAATAAGTATTGGTTGTGGATATTCGCAGATGTCAGATTTTTTTAGCAATCTTGGCATCCCACCAATAGGCTATAAACTGTACAAAGTAGAAGAACAAATTTACAGCAAGTTAAAGAACAGACAAGCTGGAAGGTTATGATGGAAGCTGGTGCAGGAAAAGTCAAGATCGCTAGAGAAAACGGCAAGGTGGATGAAAATGGAATTCCACAAATGACAGTCATAGCCGATGGAACCATGGTGCAAAAGAAAATATCGCTAAGCCTATAATTGCCCACTTGGAGCGGCATGCATTGTTGGTAAAAAAACAGGGAAGCTACTATATCTGGGCATAAGAAACAAATTCTGTGTGATATGCCTAGTAAATCCATCTAAAGAGTATATTTGCTTTAAAATTGGTCTGGTACGTCAACATCTATGGAAAGTGATATCATACTTGAAGGTTTCAAACGTAGCATAGAGATGCATGGTATAAAATATGCACATGTAGTCGGCGTTTTCAACAAAAATGCAGTTTGACAAGCCGTATGGAAACTTTGACATTCGGAAAATCAAATTTTCTTCCTAAGAAATTACTGCAATAACCACTAAAAAAATTAGTTAAAAAGTTTTAGCTTTTAGCAGTAGCATAAAAACAAATTTGAAAAAACAAGTTTTAGGAAAGATATTGAAAAGAGCGTATCATAGGTATTTGGAGATCACTAGCAGAGTGATAAATATTTCTGCAAAGGCAAAGCCAAATAAACCCAACCTCATTCTAAGCATGGAAGAATGTGCACTATTGCCTCGTGCAAATCGCCTTGGTAGCTTGATTAAAAATATGACAAATAATGCAGAATGCTTTAACAACGTCAGCAAAGTTCAGTTCAGGAAAAAGAATTGACTTTTCCAAGAAAGGTGGGTACTCACTCAGGATGCTGGAATTTCTTTTAAAAAGGAGTAGATTATCACTCCTTTTTACACAAAGCCTTAACAGGCAAGAGCCCAAGAAAAACAATGAAGAAATATATAAATCGGAAAAACAACTGCTCGGCTTTTGTGTAAATGGAAGTTGTTCGGCCAAAAAAAAAAAACAAAAAACCATTCAAAAAAATTGATAGTCACGAAGTTGACGATGATTATGGAAATGTTTTAGATGTGATTGACGATGAAAAATGAATTTCTACATAGGCGGAAAAAAGATATAATAGAAGTTCAACTGATTATGGAATCCACGAAGGAACAAAGAGATTCTGCGCTGTGGGTTGAAGAAAGACGAAAAAGAATAACAGCATCGAATTTTGGTAAAATCTGTAAGCTACGGTCTACCACGTATCCTAAAATAATAGCAGACGCAATGCTAAAGAGTTTTACGGCTATGAGCACTGATAATAGCATCACACGTGAGCATATGACCATTAAAGAGTTCGCAGAATTTTTAGTAATACAAATACAACCATGCGGTTTTTTGTGGATGAAAATGACTTTTATCTTGGAGCATCACCGGAGGGACTTGTAGGAAAAAATGGTTTGTTGGAAATAAAGTGTTCATATGGTTGTAGACAACTTAATACCATAGATGCAGTCCAACTAAAAAAGCTGACATACATGGAACTCGGATAATAACAATTTCATTTAAAAAATCATAATTACTGTTATCAACTACAGAAGCAGTTACATGTTAACAAAAAGAGAATTTTGCTATTTTGTTATGTAGACGCCAAAAGGATTTATCTATCCATAGCCGTCTTTATCTAACACGCCGGAGCATTGATATTTGGCAACACTGCGGCGAAGGCCGATGGATTGAATATTATTTATTTATGTTGTTTGTTTACAGTTTCAGGTTTACTTCTGACTCCTGTTGCTACAATTTGTATTGAGTGGAATAAGGGTTGTGTTTTTTGTGTTTAGGACTGTATTTTACTTTACATGTATACATTAATTTTATTTTTGTATGCTCTGTATAATAATAAAATGTAAGTATTAACCTAACTTCTAAGATATACCTAGTTTTTGTAAAACTAATTTCTTTATATATTTTAGATTCCAGCAAAATGTTGTGTACTAGAGTGCAATAGCAATTAAGCATCTCAAAAGCAGGAGGGTCATATAATATAATATAATATAATTAAATTTCCAACT